TCGCATTCTTCTGTTTCGCATCAACACTAAACTCGAAGATAGTATTCGTTTACAACAGGCAAGCTTTAGACCAAATCGTTAGTGCGTGGATCAAATTAACACTCTCATGATTATCATCGAACAATGGCGGACATACATAAACATATTATTCATCGACTACAGCTGCGCTTTTGACAGTGTTAATAGAGGCTGCATTTGGAATTCTCTCTTACAAAGAGGTATTTCCAGAAAAGTTGTCGACCTCATCAAAGCACAATTCCCTTTGCCACTACTTCAGGTTTTAGACAAGGCTGTCTGATGTCGCCTATTTTGTTTTTAATTGTGTTAGACGACGTCCTTACTAAAGCTTAGTTTACGACTTAGTTTACGAATCACGAAAAGTTGGCCTTATAGTGAACACGGCAAAGACAAAGGCAATGAAGATAAACAAATCTGACTCTACCAGCAAATTCAACCTGAACGATACAGAAATCGATAACGTCAGCTGCTTCACATACTTAGACAGTATAATATCGCCGAACGGTGGCGCGGCAGTCGACATCCAAAGCCGAATTAACAAGGTATGCTCCGCATTTTCGTTACTGAATAAAGTTTGGAGCTCTTCAATATTTTCCCAGCACACCAAGCTGCAGTTATTTAACAGTAATGTTAAGAGCGTTCTGCTCTATGGCTACGAAACCCGGCTTACCACCAACAATCTGATCCATAAACTGCAAACCTTTACAACCTAATGCCTTAGAAGAATTCTGAAAATTTGGTGGTCCTGCACTATTAGAAATTCCGAACTATGGTCAAGATGCCGCCAACTTCCTACAGCAAACGAAATGAAAAAGCGTAAATGGCAACGGATCTGCATTTATAATTTTCATTTCTGTTATCACGCCTACTTTATTTTTCGTCTCACATATTACGCACTTATTTCGAATTCTAATTCTTGACATTTCCATTTTATTGAGGAAGAGCGCCTCCACTTCACATTTGGTTGCCTTTAATTTCCGCATACCTTTGATCTCTATCTTTGATCTCTTGTAGTAATTCGATTTCCAGTTTAAGCATTTACTTCTCGGTTTCTAACTTTTCTATCCAGTTTAAGCATTCCTTGAGCATATGTCTCTATTTGATGTTAGCGTAGCTTTTTGTGAATCAATGTTAATACACAGATTTGTGAATTTACAATCGAGTTTTTCTGACATTTGTTAAAAAATCTGGTGACAGGTTTGACTGCATAGTTATTTTTTATGTTCTTGCATATTTGGTATATCTTGACTCGATTGAATTGGGACGTGTTTTTAGTCGTATGGTGTTAATTTCTTTGAAGCAGGGTTTGAATTGCTGTTGCTAATTGCATTGCTTGCATAATTGCTAACGCATTGCATAAGAAAATGAAAAAAGAATATGCATTAGCAACAGCAAAAAACGCAAACTAGTTTCATTTTGATTGCTTGCTAATAGTCGATTTTACATTTTTGACTATTATGCGTTTGGAATATATGCAACGTTCTTGCTTATGCGTTAGTTGCTTGCGTTTTGCTATTAGCGAATGTATATGGATTTCTTCTTTTTGTTTTTGTTTTAAGGGAATGATGCGCTTTATTTCTTTGTTGGTGCATTGAATATAGTTATGCAAAATTGTAAGTAATGTGTGTGCGTACAATTTGTATGCAAATAATATTTTATCTGTAATTAGATTATGCCTAAATTCATGTTTTTTTTAATTATTAAATTTATGATTTAATAATCGTTTGACAAAAATTGACAGGTCAATATTTATGCATTAGTCAAAATTTGGTTGCTTTTGCTAATTTTCAGCAAGCAATTCAAACCCTGCTTTGAAGAATACTAAAAATTTTGAAGTAGCTCTGTTTTATTTTTAAGTACAGTATGCCTTAGCATTAACACAAACCATTTTGTTTTGAATATAGCATAAATTATATTCCATCGAATATTTATATGTTTATCCTCTTCGGTCCTCGAGTGCAGCCAGTTGGACACTACTAACTTTCTTGAAGTATTCTGAAAGTTTAAGTATAGTATACGCATATGAACAGCTCGCTAATAATTGTGTGTTTCTTAGTTCAGCGCACTTTTTGCTGTTATTTTGGGAATATTCTAAAATAATGTCAAAATGTCACAAACGGAATATAGTCCTGGATATGTATATTCTTACAAAAGAGATAATAAAACTCTGTAAAATAGGTTCTATACTACTTTTTATTGACGCAACAGGGCTTAGAGACCTACGCTACACCCACAAGAGGAGCACAATAGACGCCGGTCACAATGCCACATCCTTGAACAATAATAATAAAGAACACGCTGAAAACAAAATTTTTGAGATGTTATTAAAGAGTGATAATGAATTGTTAAATTACAATGCGCAGGAAGGTGCTGTTGTTTTCGAAGATGTCGACTTTGATGGTGTTGTGCTGAAAGCGCAGAAAAAATTTCTGACCAGGAAGTGCTTTATACATATATAACGTCAATAACATATCAAACTGAAATATGAAATGGATCTTCAAGAAATTTAATACAACGTATGAGGAATTACCCTAAGGTGACATTTGAAATATTGGTAATCGAGAGAAGTGGACACCTTTCAATTATTTTTGTAATTATTATGATTATTATTAGAATTAGGATGTACTATAGACCGTCCATAAAAGTAGCTGCAATAACGCAAAGATCGGTGTTTTAAAATTAGAAATTACATGCATTTTGCAAATGTAAGTAACCAGTTAAGAGATGAAGAATAACAGGCTTTGGAAAATTCAACTCATTTCAGATATAGTTATAAACTATATCTGCAATACAATTCCAAAACTATATTATGCAACACAATTCCAAAAAGTTAAAAATTTAGTATCAAATAACAAATGATCTCTTTTACTGGAACTACTCAGCTAAAGCAATATGTAAAATTTAAGTCGAATTCAACAGGCTTAAAAAATTTTGAATTGTCTTCTCCGGATAGGCTTGTCCTTGATTTTTTCATTTATCAGGGAGCAAAAACGTGACCCTGTGAAAAACCCAATCTATCATTGAGCATAGGAGGCACAGTTGTAGAGAGACTAACCAAAAATGTTCCCAAAAGGGCGTGAAATATTTATGGATCGCTAAATAGCGACCTCCATAAATTTGCTGACTTTTTTCTTAGACAATGAGATTTATACTACCGGAAAAATTCAACAAAATCGGATTCCAACAAAATTACGTACAAAGCTATCTCTTGATACAGATCTTTTTAAAAGAGGAAGAGGTAGGTTCGATGACATAGTCAGACAAGATGAAAAATAGATAACAATGAGTAAATGGATAACAAATCAGTATTGTTTTAGCCACTATATTAAATTATCTTATACGCATATCAAGCTTTTTTAATAAGAACATCATTTTTAAATAGACTAAGAAAAATAATTTAAATAGGAAGAGGTATAAATGCAATGACGTAAACGAGGACCCATCTAAGTAGATTTTTTGAAAACAATTTCAAACTAGGTTCCAGTCTGACGGTCTGACGTTTTCGTTTTTATATACTGCTAACACAATATTAGTGCCAAATGTTTGGAATTAGCAAATAACGTAAGTTTTGAGTAGTGTTTATTGGGACTCCAAAATATTTGCATTGAATTAAATTTGTTAAGCATTAAATCGCTTTGAATTTTGGTTTATTTACTTTTTTGTTTTATTTTGTTTTTGTAAAGTAATTTTACACATATGGTTAACTGCTGAAAGTGAAAGCAAATTATATAATTTTAATTAATACAAATTCAGTTCGAAATGAGCAATATAGACGCTCTTATAATTAATTGAAACATTTCACAATGTGCCAGCTCATTATGAAACTATTAATCCACAAACAATATATTAAAAGCAATGCATATAATACGCATGAAATATAAAAAAGAAATACCTCAGGGTTGAAAATCAAAATCTGAAGCGAATTAATATAAACCCTCCAATTCAACCATAGCAAAGCAAAAACTTAGCATCGTATGATGATGAAGATAACTTGCACGTAAAACAGATTTTATATTAAAATAAAAATAAATATAGTATAAAGTAAATTCACTAGATCCTAATGAGTACAGAAACTTGATGAAAAGTTTAAACAATTAAAATTTTACATCCAAAAGCAATATTGTCAGATCTTCAAGAATAAGGGCTGGCTAAAACTCATAAGTTTACTTAACAAGCTGAAATGAAAATCAAGAGAACCCTCATATAATTTTCTCCTACCATTTAACTTAGCTGAAAACATCAAAAAATATATGAAATAAGAACTATTTAACATTCTTTTATTGTAATTGAGGCTGTAAGGCATTAAAATATATTTCTCAGTATAATCACGTGCAAAATTATTGTGGGAAATAACCCAAATGCATAAAATGTACAGGTTGGTACAAAACGATGGATTCCACGAAGCCTTCAAAAAAGCAACTAAGGTGTTGCAATTGTGACGAGGCCCATCTCGCTTATGCGTTGACTGCTAAAGAACTACAAAAGATACTTAACCAAACAAGTGGTATAAAAAAGAGCGAACTACATGCCAAAGACGAGTCTGCTAAAAATATGGTAAGTAAATTTATAGAAAACCTATCAAAAATCCATGCACCCAAACTGATTGTTTTTAGGTCAGGTTAAACAAAACTGATTGCTTTGATTTTGAATTTTAACTTCAATTGTCAAAACATTGGTTTCTACTATGTTCGATAATTATCAACTAAATTGATATTTGATAAGTTTGTCAAAATAATTCACAAATCATATCGCAGTTTAAAATATATAACATAATTGCAGTTTATCAACTCTATACTATAGTGAATAATGTCAATTTAATTGAAATTTTATCATCAATTTAATTGCCAAATTTGTCAAGTATTAATTAACATAACGGCCATTGCCTTCAAATGATTCAAATTCAATCAGTATTTGTTGAATATGAAAATAGATACGAATCTTAAAATTTATATATATATATATATTGTAAATGCAAGATATACCAAAAAATTTTCCAAAAAGTTCTCTATCCGATCTTCGACGAAAGATGGATGTTTCGTTGATTGCACTATAATTCTTAATCCAACTGCTCCGTTTACTTTTCGATTACTACTCAAAACTATGTAACCAAGTTGCTCCTGAAATAAAATATAATATTTGATTATTAATCATTTAATTTGTAAAATTATTTCTATTTGAAAATAATAAACATAATGCTCATAATTGAAAATGTAATAGATTATGATTTTTGCATGGTTTTTAAAAACTTTAAAAAACTTTTTTTTTTTCTTTGTTTGATAAAATGTTGCAAATGTATGGCAAGCTGCTACTCTCAATTCAGAATTCGAGTAAGATATTAAAACAAATAAATGTTATTTATTATAAATATAATTATTAAATATTTTAATAATAAAAAGTATTTCAGTTTTTTAATGTGACATTTTGGCTAAACATATTCGTATACCTAACAACAGTAAAATTATTATTGAAAGCATGAATTTTTCTATTTTTACCTTAGAACAATAAGTGTAATTTTAAAAAGATTTAAAATATTTAAAAATTTGATATTTCGCTATCTGAGCTAAGTTCATCCTTCTTATTAAGCACATTATGGTGTCTTCCAGTTCATTAGTAGGAAGAAGCATTTCTAACGCTACTTTTGTGAAAGGCTTTGATGATTTTTTGGCTTTGCTCTCAATCTAGTCAGGAGTAGATCTGAAGTTAATAACAATCTATTTAATATATCTGTATTGCAGGACTCCCGAGAAAATTTTCGTGCGTAGTTCTCACGATACAGACTGAAATGCTTATTACGTGCTTCTGCCGCTTCTTCTGACAGTTGTCCTATAGGCACCAATGCATTTTTAATAACAATTTCACCATGAATAAGAATCTTATGCATTGTACGCGTCATAGGATACCATGGATACAACATTATCGCGAAAGCATATTGATTAAATTTTTCAGTATCTATGTGATATCCACCTGATTTGACTTCCAAAATCACTTTTAAACGAAAAATTAGATTTGGATCTATACTCGTGATTTCTGCAGATAACTCAGGCTCTGAAAAAAATCGTCTGCTTGCGTTTCCATCATTACTATTTCCGAATGCAGGTTTAGGCACATCTACAATAAGACCCATTTTGTTTCTGAATGCCTTTTGAATTTCGATTTTTCTCTGCAGAGTTACAACTTTGTCACTATCTGAACGTGATTGCCATTTCTGAATAGGCAATTTATGGGACAAGTGTAACAGGCTCTAAAGATTAAAAATCTTTATGAAAAATTAATTTCAAAAATTGGATTTCAAAATTGAATTTAATAAAAAAAAATCCCACAAACTATGAAAGACTTGCAAAACAACTTTTTTACGAAGTTTTAAGAATAAAACAAATACAAATACATTTTTAGTATTTATGATTGCTTTCTAAAAAGATAAACTATCAAAAAAAAAATCATTATTTTATATTTAAAATATTGGCCATTGGCTTTTACATTTCGCATATCTTTCAGATAACACTAGTTTACAAATAATTATAAATTTTGTTTTCCAAAGACAAGACCTGAATTCTCTATAGAGAATTTTTGAGTAAAATTTTAAAATCATAATTTTTTTTCTTGTGTGCCGTATTCCCATATTTGCGAAAACCGTTATTTTGATGTTTCGCAGAGCATCGCTTTGCACATGCAAGTTAATGCATATAGTCAGAGGCGAGGCGTCGAATGGTTCAGAGTGTTCACTGAACACCTTAACAAAGCTTCCTTTTTAGATTTTTTTTATTAGGTAAATAATCTCGCTATATTGCTACTTAACATTTTTTATAATAGCTTTTCCAAACAGATTAACATAAACACAAAACGTAGAATACAAACAAAATCACACATATGTTAGATACACCCAACATTGCTTATAATTAATAAAAGAGAAATAACATTCCACTTGAAATATACTAAGGTTCAGAATAAAAACTGCACTGCGTCGCTTAAAAAGCATGCAAATGAAATAACATTCACATTGGGACTATGTTCAATATTGAATACACAACACAAAACATACAAACAAATATATGTACGTAAAATAATCTTAACTCTTAAATTAATGCGTGCAAGCAGTTCAATAAAAAAAGTGCACTTCCAATGTTATGCAAAGTAATTACAAAAGAGAAAAGAAATAACTGAGCGAAAATCGCTTTACATTTGACGAGAGGATCATTCCACTAAACTGAACCAAAAGTTTATACAAAGCGTGCAAATACAATCAAAGTCACGGTTGCTGTTTTATATGGGGAAATGGTTCAGTATAAAAACTGAACCGGGCATTGTAAATACAAAGTAAAAGAGTAAATGAATGCATGAGAGTTTCTTACTCTTATATAGAGGTTGGAAATAAATCAAAACAAAGTCATTATTGCAATTTTATACTAGCAAATGGTAAAAGTAAAGAAAGAGATTAAAGAAATTTGAAGTGAAAAATAATATTTAGAAATGGATAAATGTGTGATTAAAGATTTGATTCAATGTCTTTTTTTAAACGATCTTCTGAAAAAAAGATTTTAATTCATAAAATGAATAAACCAACTCCAGATATGAAGAATTTGATACCTGTTGTAAAAATGTCGAAATCTATAGCTACACCTTTATGGTAAATAAAAACCAGTGCATCACAGGCTGCGAACATTTAAATAAACTGTTTTATTGGTCTTGTACGCTAGGACAAAACTTAGAAGTAGGGGGAATACGTTATAGTTGGAATTCTGTTTTGATTAAATTGTGAACACCTTGCCAAAAAGCTGACGCCTCGCTACTGCATATAGTAATCCATATTAAATTAAAGCTGAAACTTATACGAATATTTAAAGCTATATAATTGGTTTAGATGCTATAGTTAAAAATGTAAATATCAAAAATCTTTTTTTTTGCGTTTTTTCACCTTTTTTTCGTTTTTTCAACTTTTTTGATTTTTATGTGATGGAACTCTTACAGAAATATTAAAAAAATTTATTTTAGTCAAAATAGTTAATAAACGTGGACGATTTTTCAACGTACTAAACAATAGCTACAAGGTAACTCAAGTTAGGGTTACTAGACAAACTAATATAATAGGAAACGTGCGCATGAATGAGCTCTTCTTTGGAGCCTCCTGTTTCAATGCATGATTCTGCCAGCTACAGATAAAAGAAAGCAATGTTTATATAACTGTAGTCTGAAATAATAGAAAAAAATTTGACGCAGAAATCAATCCATTTTCTTCCGATAACAAGATTATGTTCTTCAACACATATCAACGCAGTTACAAGCAACGAAAAAGGATTTACACAACAACACAATTGTATCACTATAATCGATAGTTATACGATTTATGGTAATTGTTATGAGAATCATAAAATATAAAATTATTCGACCACCATCCTGTCACCGCTTTCGCTTGACGTTGTCGTAAGCGATCAGTCGCCACTTTTCATCACCAGTTACCAACCGAAATTCGTGTGGCATGAAATCCATGATTTTTCGACAACTGGCCTTCCAAAGATAATACATCTTTGACATCAAAATTACCCGAACGGAATCGAAGAAACCAAAATTGCGCATGATTGGCTGTTACAGTATCAGGACCATAAATACTATTCACATTCTCAGCCGCCTGGCTTGTGTTTTCGAGTTTATCAAAGAAAAACTATAAAATATTGCACATTTCCTCTTTGGTAGTATCCATTTTTTCGCGCAAAACAAACAAAACTAAGTCAACTAATCACCAAACTGTCTAAAAAATTTAAGAACTAAAAAAAAAAAAATTGGCGGAAGTGTACTTATTGAAGAGTAAATTTATCATAGGTAAACTTTTAATTTAATTTAAATTTTAACGTTATTTAAAAAAAGTATTACATCTTTAATTTAGTTTTAACGGATAATATAATATTTAAAGATAAAAAATCAAAAAAATTTCAACTATAATTTAATATAACATAATATGAATTTGGGCCTTGTAATATAAACATTTTTAATAGATGCTTTCGACAGCTTAAAGTTGCTTTTATGTACGCAAAACAACAACACTACTTCCTTTACCTAAGCACCCAGTTGCGAAGTGGCCAAACATTTCAGCAACTACAGAAAAAAAATATCACTAACGCAATAACCGATCTATTGTGAATTTCCATGAGAAATTTAAACCAATATTCCAGTCATATGTCAAAGGGTTGTAAACAAAAATTCAAGCAAAATTAAAAAGTTACACAAATTTGAAAATTTTGGAAATTAAATATTTCAAAAATATGCAAAATTGTTGAAAATAAAATTTGTAAATAATATTTTAAATATATGTGGCAATTAGCGGCGGGCAGTAAAATGAAAACGAAAAAACTGGCAACGCTGCTAGTTTTTTGATTGTTTTTAATTGGAAAGAACGAGTGATGTTGGCGGGCGTAAAATACATTAAAATAATTTTTTTTGGTAGTAAAATATTATTGTAAAAATATTAATAAAATTTATTTATCATTGAATTAAATAAAGTTTTTCCTACATATATACATAAAAATACATACAAATATTTTTAGGAGTTCGTAAATAAAGTATACTTGAAAAGCTGTTTAAAATTTTTAACTTATCAAGGCATAAACATTCTAAAAAATTAAAAGGAAAAAATTTTCTGCTACTTTCAACATTGCTTGTAGTTCATTATTCATTTTAAGTTTAGCGAAATGATTTATTTTCATACAAAATGAAGTTTGCTTGCATTATGTGCATATATGCAAAAATTTGCTCTTTGTGAACACACAACATTTGACAGATTGCAACAGCGATGCCAGTATCTCGCTTAGCACCTATAGTAAGCAATTTGCTGTTTTTTGCCACACTTTAAAGCTGCCGAAAGCATCTAATATCTGATTTAATTATTTTAGTGAACTATGTTTAGGACTGATTTAATTTGTTGCTTCATTTTAATTATTTAGTTATTAAAATTAAACTAAAAACTTTTTAAAAAATTATTTATAAAATATACTAATTCTACATTTTAGCCAATTATTATATTAACTTATATACGCATTAAACTGCTGCGTTACATTCTCAACTGTGTACCATGTTTACAAATTATTTCTAAAGAGAATACGAATGAATGAGAGTAAACGGTGCGCAGAGTTTCCTTCTTTGACGTTAGTTTCTTATGATGTAATAAAATAATTCGCCTCACATATTTACCTTTTCCTAGAATATTTTTATGCTTGATATTGTAAAAATATCTATTTATGTATTATTGAATCAAGAGAGATTTTTAGAATGTTTAGAAATAGATTTAGTTTATAACTAATATAAATATATCTCCTTGAATATGTATATAATATGTATATGATTTTTATATATATATGGATTTTAAGTAGAGATACAGAATAAAACTACAGTTACATATTTCACGATGTAAGTGTTAAGTTTAAGTGTAAAGAACCACGCACAAATGTTGTGCGAATCTAAATAAAATATTACACCGCAAATGTGGTGTGCGAAGACTTTATTAACAAAGAAAAATGCACTTTTTGTGTGCACAAACAAAATACACATTGCACAGGAATGTGGTGGAGTGAAATAAAACTCTCACACTCATTCGGTGTTTGTGGCAAAGTTATTTCCAACAGCACATTGTCTGTGCGGCAGCCAGTTTGCACTCGCACACAACGTGTTCTGAAAACAATAGGTACGAGCAACACATTTTGTGTGCAGATTTGAAAATAAAAATGCACCCAAATGTGCGAAGACGAAATGTCTACTGCATATAATTAAATACAATAAATTAAATAAAACATTAAAATGTAATTTAAGGTCAGTTTAAGACGGAAGTGACTATTATATTTAATAGAAACTAGCGTATTTGGTAAAGAGGTTTCGAAAAGAAGTGAACTACAACAACACGAGTTAAATCACTGGTACTTGCAGTCTCAAAAAATTATGTACGAATAATTAAACACAAGAATTATTTCCAAGACCACTGATGATGGGTATTTTGCAATACTCGATCAGCTGTATGGTCAGCCAAAAATTCAATTAATTAAAATAATATAAAAGAATTTTTGTTGTAGTTCACTACTTTTCTCAACCTTTTTAAAACATTACAATAAACATTTTCCGTAGAATATCTTTTTATAAACATTTTCAAACGATTTTTTCTGTTAAACGGTTATTTAAAGTGTCTGTGGCGTAAAAAGCCATTTAATAATCAACTTACCTTAGTTCGCAAGCAATCATAGCATGGCTCTGTTAATATTTGTGATACTAAGTTAACCATAATATTCATCTTGTCACTTTGTGCCCCACATTGAAAATATAGTTGAACACACGAACATTTGTGATATTTATGATCATTTTCAAATAAATAACTGTCACCTAGAAATTATAGTGTATATTTAATTTCTTATCAACTAACCAAAATATTGAGTTACCATTAAACAATTTGTATTCACGTTTTTTAAGCATCTGACGTGCTAATAAGGGCAGAAGTTTGGAATTTGTGCTCTCCAATTTCTTGTTTACAATTACAGATATATTTGACGCATGTTGTTTGGTTACATTGCCATATATAAAACATTCTGTATGTAAACGATCAAAAAATTTCTTAGCATAATTTAGAACACGTTCATGCGTTACCACTTTAAATTTATAAAATTAATAATTTATAAAATTTTTACGGAACCCATGTTTACTTACATTCCAAAGCATCCAAGAGCTCATTATTCGACCAAGCATTTTCTGTTAAAATTAAAGCCAAATAATAAATGGAGTGTTGAAACGGCTGCTCAGCTTTGAAGTTTTTCAAAGTTCGGGTATATTCCTCTTTAATAATTTCGAAACGTTTTTCATTGACATCAAAGTCAAATAAATGATCAAGTAACTTTTCGAGCAATACAACTTGTTTGTCGTTATAACCACTTATAGCAAACTGTTGTAATTATATATAATAAATAGTTAAAAACACAAATTCTAAAATAAAATTAAATTTACAACCATACTTCAATGCCTGTAGACTTAGGTGTAAGCTGCAGCTTTAAGCCTGCTAATACTGCATCGTATAAGTATTCACTTAATTGGTCTTTTAAAAGCTCTACCATTAACTGATTCAAGTTACAGTTTAAGGGATCCACGTATGCTATCGGGTTAGAAAAATCAAATGCCATACATGCCTTTGGTTTAAGATATTGATCATCTTGTTTGTGCCAAACTCGTAAAATAGGTGTATCCAGTATAATTATAGGATGCTTACAAAAGTCTGTATCTAGAGGCACAATCTCAAAGTTGTCTGGAATAAAAGCATTTGGAAGAGGCAAAGCCAAATTTTTGTTTAACAAACAGTTTTCCCATTCCTATCAAAAAAAAGTGTTTTAATAACTTCTAGTATATAATAAATTGCTTTACTTTTATTGTTTCAGCATTAATTTTCTCTGTTCCATAATTCGTTTTAAAATAAGGTTCTGTCTCAGTAGTAACTTCTTGAAAGCTTTGTGAAACTAATATAATGCGGCATTTGGAAGGCACTAATTCCGTTAATAGATCAATTATCAAGTCTGGTCTCCATTCTTTTGTCAAATATGGAGCGGATAGTACTTGTTCTAATGGATAAATCTAAATTAAAGAATTAATAAATATTTATAACAACGATAAATTAAATTCGGAACCTGCATTGCTGTTACTGCATTTTGAACTAAAGTATCAGGTTGTTCTTTATCTTTGAAACGAAATCGCATTTCATTAATATTACAGCACTCATCAAAAATCCATTTTTTTGGTTCCTCTTGTCGCAATAATTGTATATACTAAAACGGTAAAATTTGGTAATTTTTTTGTGTATACACAGGGTGTTTCGTTTTAAAACGGTTAAGCATTAAGAGATGATTTCTTATACAAGAAACGAAAAAAATCGTTCGGTAGTCCATTTTAAAATTTACTTTGTGATCAATAAAGAACGAGAATTTTAATTTTTAAATTCCTGCGCTTATCCAATTGGTAAATTTTTTTTATTTTTACGCTGGCAACACTATTATACACATTCTGTCAAAGTTTAATGCATATCGTACGATTAGTTTTTGTTTAGCGTCTATACAAAGAAGTCGAAAAATGTTCATGTGGCGATTTTTAGCTGAATTTCATTTTTAGCTGAAAAAAAGCGTCGTGATGTGGCCAAAGAGATGATTTCCAACGCAGATAGTGACCCCACATTCATCAAACGCATCATAACTGGTGATCAGACATGGGTCTATGAATTTGACATGCCCAACAAACAACAATCGACCAAATGGTGCTTCGAAGGTGAGCCGAAACCGAAAACAGAACGCCAAAGTCGGTCCAAAATCAAGGTTATGTTGACTATTTTCTTCGATATTCGTTTTTGTTGTTCACTATGATTTCATTCCGGATGGTCAAACAGTCAATAAGGAGTATTATTTGGCCGTTATGCATCGTTTCCGTGAGGCCATGCGCAAAAAGAGGCCAGATTTATGGAAGGAAAACTCATGGATTTTACACCACGATAACGCACCGGCTCACACAGCGTTGGTAGTGTCGCAGTTTTTGGCCAAAAACTCCACCAATATCATCAACCAAGCACTGTACTCTCCAGATATGGCCCCGTGTGACTTTTTCCTCTTCCCCCGACTCAAATTGCCATTGCGAGGAACGCGTTTTGAGATCATAGAGGCCATAAAAGAGAATTCGCTGCGTGAACTAAAGGACATACCCTCGGCGGCCTATAAAACTTGTATAGAAAATTGGATCAAGCGTTGGCATGCATGTATTGCCGCAGGAAGAGAGTGCTTTGAAGGCGATAATAAAAAAATTATTAAAAATTATAATTTTGCTTTTTTTTGTAAATTCTCGTTCTTTTTTGATCATAAGGTATATTAATACATAGGATGTCAAAACAAGACTACTAAAACAAACGTTCTAAGAACAACCGAGTCTACATGCCGAAACCACTCGTCGCCCAAGTGCCGTTCGACACCTACCAAAAATACTTCATAAGTAGTTGCCAGCGCGTTATAACAACAATAACTAAAATAAAATTTTAGTCAATAAAGCCTAACATTTTAAAAATTCAAGTCATATATGACGTTTTTTTCCATTAAATATCCTTTAATGTTTTTTTAGTTTTGTATATCAAAATTGTGTATATTGCTTTGCGAACGTTTTGTGTGAATGAATTTTTCGTTTAGCATATACAGTTTCGCTACAGTCAACATCTGAAGCTAACTGCCGCTTTTTTCCATAGTAACGTAAAAATTTGGGTAACTGAAGCTTTTTGGATTCTTAGACATTATATATTTTTGGATTGAAGTCGTTTTATTTTCCTGACAGCTCCTATTTAAATAAAAAATTTTCTCAGCAAATGAAACACTTTTCAATGTTTTTTTTTGCATTCCTTGAGCTATGAAATCATATTCTTAAGCCCAATATTCATACATTTTAAAATGAAACATTTTTTTTCATCTTATTTCACCATTTCAAAATATTACCTGAAAAATGATGTTAATAACATCGTCTATATGATTCATACCCTCCTGGGTCAAGTTTACAACAATATCAAAAAATCCAAAAGCATTCAATATATTTTGACATCCGGCAAGTAAGCTTAATTTAAAAAGATTGATTTAAAACAAAAAGTTTAGATATTAAATACATGCTCAATACATACTCATTACACCAACCCAATTTACGTAATTCTGCTAATAAACTTCCTTTTCCTTCATGACCAATTAAGTGAGTTAAATAACTATCCGGCTGTGTTATAAATATTAAAAAAGATTAAAATATGTAACAATTTTTAAATAACGTACCGCTGATTTATAAAATTTAGTTAAGTCATCTGTTGTAAAACTTATGGTTAATGAGCGTACATCTTTAATGGGCAATATCATAACTTTGAGACCGTATTTCTCATCGTCGTATGGGTGCCGTGACCAATCTGGTAAAACAACGTTTTTATTTTCAATCTCCAAAAATTTTCCTACAACCATTTCTTCCAATTCATTTAAGGATTCTGTTGCAAAAATTTTAACTAAATATTTTAACGAGTTATTTATATAAGTTTATAACCTTTTCCAATAACGGACAAGTACATAATATTAGCAGAATACCATTTTTTATGAAAACTCAAAAGTTCATCACGTACATTAATATTTTTTGATTTTGGAATGTCACATAACGTTGATTTGTTGCCTTTAAGTAAATATATAAAAATAGACAAATAATTTATGAATGAAATTAATATATATAGATCTATTATAAACCTACAGTCAAACTTTCAAAACTCAAAGTCCAATTTTGCAAAGAAAAGACTTATGGAGACTTCAAGTTAGAGAAATTTTTTTTTATTTTAATTTTGGTAAACTATAATTACATTTTAATATATTTATTTATTTGCAATCAAATTAAGCACAGAACTTATAGTGAAGTAAAATATTCAGAAATTAGGATTGGGACTTTCATTTTTTCTTATTTTCAGTAAAAAGAGATTTAAGTTTATTCATACTCTTATCACTATCAGTTGTAGTATCATTCGTTTGCAAATATAAATTCAGAATTTTGAATGAGTCTTCTACTTCATTCTTGGAAGGCTGATAAACAATTACATCCACCGAACTCTCATCATCACTTTCCGTTGCGCTTAGAATTGGATCCAGTAATTTAGAGCTATAGTGCTCAATAATATCCTTAATTGTAGAAAAGCTTGATGTATAAATTTTATTGTCAAGCACAATATAATCGTTAAGAGTAGCATTGGAAGTTATTTTATTTACTTTAAATGACGCTGCCAATGACTGGCATTTGCAAAAAAAAAGCAACATAAGAAAGTAAACATTAAACGTTTTGGAAAAAGAGACTTCCTATAACAGCAAAGTCCATTTATACTTAAAACAAAAATTTGACTTATAGAATGCACTTTCCCATATTCTTATAGGCACGGAACGAAATTTCTGTTCGAGTTATAGAGAAATTCGAATTATGGAAGCAGAAATGTGTGTAATTTGGTCTCTAAAACCTTGGTGCATGTTTTTAATTCGAGTTATAGAAAATTCGAGTTATAGAAGTTTGACTATATTTGAAAAAATATCAATGCTTTATTTATTTGAAATGCTATACATACAACATATACTACACAAGTTAAATTTAATAGATTGCTTACCACTTCCAAACTTGCTATACGGGTGACTGCGTTTCGCTAAGTGATGGTGTACTTGTTTAACACGCCAAAGATCGCTGGATAAATTTTTTTCGTACTCGGAATTAACCTATAGTCACAAAAATATAACGGTTATAAATAAGCGATACAGTTTAGAATAAGCTAATACTAAATTTTTATTTCAAATATAAAAACTAAATTTGTAACCATCAATTTTTTAAGATATAATCTTTATTTTATTTTTATCTTTATTTTATATCTGAAGACAAATTGCTTACAGGCTTATGTGCCAACATGCGAAAAGGTTAGGCTAGTTAGGTAAAACAATGGTATAGATTGCTTCGCTGCAACTTCGTCCCCTCTTTGGGGGGTACATCTTTTATGAAAGCACATTGAACATTGAACATTGCAACATTGTAACAAATAGTGAACAAATATAGCTCAGAAGTATGCGAGGGCTGCCTTTTAAGTCTTGAGCCTAACATTAAAAACAGAGGTTCTATGAAAACGGTTTTATTGTTTTTCGAAGTATTATCAATCAATAATACATTGATAATCAGCACATTTTTGCATTCGATTGAACCATGTTCTAGCGTAGAAATACACTCGCTACACAATTTTTCTTAATGTTTGAAAACAAGAAAAAGTCATTTCTTGTATCAAGTCGGGATTATAAAGCGGATGACCCATTAATTCGGGTGCTTTTTTCTGAAAACTTCTGGCAAACAAATAGTTGTATACCACATAGAATTGACCGTTCTACGTTATTCAAGTGGTAAAATACCAACATGACCAATTTTTTAGAAAAAGCTTTTTTGTATTTGCGTGGTCCGCACACAACTTTTGTCAGGTTCTGCTTACTTTGGAAAACCCAAACAGTGGATTGTTTAATTTTGTTTTAAATTTTGAGTCGTTACTTTGAAAATGTTTTAAATGCAGGTTTTGTTTTTTGATATTTTAAACTTTTATTTCGAATGTTATGTTTGAGTTTTTCCTAATATTAAAAACAATCTAGCAATTTACAAATTATTTATACTATTTACATGTGTTATTATTTAATTTTAATTAAGGTAGGGTTTTTGAACTTGGGAGTGACAGGTAAAAAATGGTGGCGGGATTGGTCTGGTTTGGTTTTATTGTTGTTCAGGCTTGTGTATAACAAACATAAAATTCGAAATAAAAGTTTAAAATATCAAAAAACAAAAACCGCATTTAAGTGGATTGTTCTTTTGTTTCAGGCTGATAGGCGTAGATCTATGCTTCGTCACCTGTCACGATGTCGTAGACGTCTTTTGAGCTGCCTCGGTTGTATATTTTTAGCATTGCCTTGCACCAATCAACACTTTCAATAATTTAAACGATTGTCAAATAATGGGTAAACCAATGAGAACAAATCTTTCTGATAACTAAAGGTATATGTATATTTAAATGAATTATCACTTATGCCCAAGAATGCCTCTATCTCCCGGTAGGTAACATGCTGATTCATCTCAATAATTTCTCACACTGTATTGATATTTTCTGGTACAACAGACATTCTTGGATGACCGTCACGGAATTCGTCGTGGAGAAAATGACGATAACGCTCGATCACAAAATGTCGAACTAAGTCGAACGTCGCAGTCTTTTCTGCTTAATCCACGTCGAAAATCGTAAAAAATCATCGCACGAAATGTTACTTGACATAATTAAAAATAACAACTTAATATTTTACATACTACGATTAATTTTTAATCAAAGTTAAAAATTAGTATCACCAGATTGATGTATTATAAATAATTTGAAATAAAATACTGAAGTGTATGCAATTTACTAATTTGGGAATATCTAATATATTAGTTCAAGTCTTGCTAATAATGGATTTGGGTACAATTATATTTATATTATATTTTCTGCTCTTCTTGATAAGTGTTTTAAACCAGACGATGATGTTTATCTGCAAATTCTCCAACTAAAGACAGTAAGGTTATATATAGTATACTCGTATTCACATAATTATGTTCAGAAGAAAAACCGAGCATTGCATCCTACCTGAACGGTATTCAATTACGCAAACGTTCAACGCCGTTCGGTAGAGATTTTAAGTAGCAAGTTCATATAACACCAGAAAACCGAAAAAACCACCATAATTATGTCGTTTGGATTACTTAAATTAAACGTAATGCCGCCTGACTGATATAACGAAAACTATTAAAAGTTGTGTTAAAATTTGGTCCAAATTTCATCTAAAGAGATCAAATATTTTATGTAATTAGCAATTAGTCTTGATCTATACTCTGCAAAAAGTACATGTAATATTATTTTCCTGCATATTATTTGCTCTCTTTTTTGTAGAGTTTTAAATTATTTCAAGAAAAGAAATTTAAAGTTCATGAGTTGTCAACATATGCATATAATGTATATACAATTTGTAAATAAGTCTATCGCATCATATTTACGCATATGGCATCTAATTTCAGAAGTAAAAAACTAAGTATGAATATAAACGAAAAAGCTAAAAATCCAATTTCTGGGTTTTAAAATTCAGTTGATTCAATACCAAATTGCAACACCTATTTAGATTTTTGATAAAAATATATCTTATGTTTGTTTGGTTAACTTTAACTTTAACTGGATTTCTATTCATGAAAAATTAATAGAATAAATTATTATAGAATATTATACCACTCCACTCGCTCAAGTAAAAGTTGAAATATCTACTAAATACATTTGTGATTTGGATTTAAGTTCTGGTAAAATAAATATGTATAGTATTTTTATACGAATCAACTTAGAAGTTATTATTTCTTTTATGACACTCTGTGAGTACAATTAATAATAATAGTATTAGCTAATATGTATACATTACCGCATTAATTTCACGATCAGTAGCGCTTGACGTAAAAAGTGGTGCTATAAAAAATTGTGCAAACCGATCTAAAGCACCATCCAACTTATCTGGGGCAACATTAAAATGATATTTCGTCATTAACGAATATGTGGCCGCATTACTACTTCCACCATTTTGAGACAGATATGTCGTATAACCGTTTTCATCAGGATACTTCTCAGTGCCGAGGAAAAGCATATGCTCACAAAAGTGAGCTAATCCTGGTAGATAATCAGGATCCGACATATGCCTACAAGATACAAAAATTTGAAAAGTCTTTTTTTTTAATTTGAGAGATTTACCCCACTTGTACACTTAATGCAGCTGCAGATAAATCTGTGTTGATGTCACTTATTAAAAGTACTTTCATTCCATTTTGTAAATGAAGCCCACGGTATTCTCGCACATCTTGAGGCGATTTTTCTATGTCATCAAACCTGAAGAATATATATTATTATATAACTAAATGTTAAGTTAGAAATAAACCTTGCAAAGCAGTGCTTTTCTAATTTTTCGGCAGCATTAAGATTTAAATCTGTGGAACCGCTATCCGAAGTATTTAAATAATTTGAAGACATGTTTCTAAAACTAAGTAGAAATGAACTGCTCCGTATATTATTCTTCTTTTTGATAAACTATAATATGTCATATAAGTATTTAAATAATATAAAAAGTAGCGATATACCGGATGCAATTTTGATATATGTCGACATATGTTGAACCTGTTAAACACGGAGAAATATTATTTCCGTACAAATTATACGGTACCGCAAACACATCTTAGTTGTGACAAATTATCGATAATTCAGACTATCGATAATTTGCACGATGATAGACACAAACTCAAAATTGATTGAAAATACATTTTGAGCAATGCACACTTGCGACAATATGCCGAAATTTCCACACTTTTTGTATATTAAAAACTAAATGAAATTTTGAAATTAATTGCAAAGATAATCAGATATCAAAGGTGTAAACACTTTTGTCAAAACAAAAAAAGTTAGCCCATTACAATATGCATAAATTAATTAATCAAACATTTAGTTTGAACCGAATAAATTCATTTTTCATAAATTTTTTTTAATTCTAATAGGGTATCTATTAATATTTTGTTAATGTGTGTTTATTAATATATTAAGTAATTTGAGCAAATGTTATGATAAATGTTATTGAATAAAATGCCATTGAACGCCTTCAAAAGCCAAGATTGGCGCAAGTTTATTGTTGGATTTTGCTGCTGCTTTTATATCCCTTTCTAGAATGTTTGCTGCTCCAGCGAAATTTGTTCCATTGTCTAAATAGATATTTTTTGATTTTGCTCACTTTGAGAAAAATCTTTTTAATGCTGCTAGAAATTTCTCCGATGACAAACCACCAACTGCTTCCAGATTAATTGCTTTTGTCGCTAAACATACAAAAACTGCTACATAACCTTTGAATGTCTTGAGTGCTCTTCCTTTGGAGCAATTGAATTTAAGTGGTCCTGCATAATCTACGCCAGTATTCTGTAACGACCTTTCCGGCCTCTACCGCGGCTGGGGTATACTCAGCGTATACTAGGGTTCAGTACAAAAAAAACTCAACAACCAAAAAATTTAATAGGCCATATTAAATTACAAATAATTATAAAAAAAAATACATTACACGATTTAACATATTTCAAATAATTATATTTAACTATCATGGATATTCTTAGAAAATTAAATAATACTTCAAAAAAAAACTAAGTAGGTAGATAATTAATGCACTAAGTAATTCATTTAGTTATTATTGCTATTCTGGCAATTGATGCCTTATTGTTGTTAACGTTCGCGCCACTGCTACTGTTGCCGTCGCCGTTGCTGTCCCAGGTGTCAGTTTGATTTTATTACATTCAATGCATTCGATACTTGATTTATTGATATAAAAAAAACGTTCATTGGATATATGTTATTGAAATATAAAAATTGTTAGATGTTAACTCTTTTCTATTGTTTAATTTCGTATTTATAATTTAGTTAGTAATATATTTGAATTTCTTTAAACACTTCATTTGGTTTCCTTTGTGGTTAATAATATAACATATTCTGCAGTAAAGCAAAGGCACTAGAGATGGACATACGTCTCAAAAAAAAATTCGGTTTTTTTATATAATTTTTTTTTTTATTTAAAATACTTGATAGTTGTTATGGTATAAAACACTGTTCCAGAGTATAAATTTATATATTAACAACTTCACGCCGCTTCCGATAATAGTTTCATATATATATCTTTTTTTTTCTTATTTTTCTTGTGTATTTCTTTGCGGATCACTGAAGTTAAACTCTGTCATACATTCTGCCCGTTCCGTTCAAGAAAACTCAACCAAGAAGACCGAAGATCCTCCGAATGCACCTTTTATTTGCTTTTTTTCTAACTGCTTAACTCAGACTTTTTAATCCACCGTTTCGCGGTCAATGCCCTTAATTAAGGTTTTCTACTTCGAGACTCACGAAAGCTTTCAATTATTTTGTTATTGATTCTCTTACCTTGCAATGTTTACGCTGCATTCTCAGCTTTTCCTATTACTCACTGCAACTTTTGGCGATCAAACGAGAATTATAACAAAACAAATTAAAATGACATTTCTCACATTGCAGGTTTTTTGTTGTAATTTTTATAAGCATGTTTGGATGTCAGTGATTTTTTTATTTATTTTTTTTTTTTTAATTATTTTTAAAAAGAATTATTTAATATAAAGTTGGACGGAAATTACTATTTTATTGATATAGTAATCCATATTTTATATAATTATTCTTTCTTAATAATTTAAGCTTACATTCAGCATCTTATTCCACCCAGAACTCCACTGAAGTTATTACGGTGAACTAGTCGTGAGCATTCGAGGTAACGTCCATGAAATATTTATCCTTCAGTGGTTTTAATTATTTATTTATTCCAGTTTCTCATCACTGTAAGATCAATTTTATTTTTACTTCAAAAATTGATCATTACAATTCATAAACGGATATGCTTGTTGTACTCTTATCTGGTAGAATGCCCATAATTTGATATTTTTGGTTATATTGATACCTAGTGCATTTTACGCACTCCCTGTAACATTTTTTAACAGCATTTGTAAGACCAATTACGTAATATGCTTCACGAATGACAGCTTTCATTTGATTAACACCTCCATGCAGAGTGCGTTTATGTATATTTTCTATCACTAATGCACTTAGATGAAATTTGTCCAAAATAATTAGGTGTTTTCTTCCATAAGGAAGGTTTGAGGTTTGTATTCTCCCTCCTACTCTGAGTATTCTATTTTGATCCAGAAAGGGTGCTAAGGGTAGTACTTTGGATTTCATTTTTAATCTTTGTTAATCTTTAAGCAATTTATTTCTTCTGGAAAATCTATTTCTTGTTGCACCTTAAGTATATGAGTTTCGGCAGTTTTGAGTACATCAATTGTCAAATATTCAGGATATCTTTTTTTACGCATTCTTTCAATGGCTCTAATAACATAAGCTATTACTCTTTTTAATTTAAGAATATTGGATATTTTTTCCTATGCCATATATAATGCATCTGAGGAAACATTGATTGTTGCAATTATTGCTTCATCGTATTCTTTAGATTCTTCTTCCGCATCCGGCCAGCAATTTTCAGTTCTTTGTAGCCAAGTAGGTCCAGTCCACCACAATTCATGATTTTGTAAATTTTCTGGATGTACATTGTGACCGAAAAGTTTCCGGAAATTTTAAATAAAACGCAAAATTCTTAATCTTCATCAATATTTATTTTATCTCCTTCAAAATATGCTCCATTAGAAGCGATACACAAATGCCAACGTTTCTTCCAATCATCAAAACATTTTTTATGGGCGCTTTCCGGTATGGCTTTGAGTTCCCTCTGCGAATTCTGTTTTACGTCTTCTATGGATTCAAAACGCGTTCCTCTGAGTGGTAATTTGAGGTTGGGAAACAGGAAAAAGTCACACGGTGCAAGATCAGGTGAATACGGTGGCTGTTCGATGGTATTTATTGAATGTTTGGCCTTAAAATCGTTGATAATGTTGAACAAATTGAGGTGAATCGGAACAAGCCGGGCGTTGACACGTCGCATACACAAATTGTCCACCAAAATCAAACGAGCCATCTCACGACCGATGCCTAGCTCTCGTGCTATCTCTCTAACACTCACATGAGGATTTTTGAACACGATTTCCTTTGCCTTTTCAATGTTTTCGTCGGTGGTAGAGGTCGAAGGTCGTCCAGAACGCGGCATGTCTTCGACGGTCGTACGACAGTCCTGAAAGGCTTTGTACCACTCATAAACTTGAGTTTTCGATAAAACTGATTCCCCATAAGCCTTTTGTAGCATTCGCAACGATTCTGCACACGAAATTTCGTTCGAAAAACAAAATTTGATGCAAACTCTTTGTTCAATATTTTTTTCCATTGTTTTTTTCGCAACGCACTACTGAGGTGAACTGGTTTCAACAGCTGCCGTAAACGAACTGTCTGACAGATCGCGCTCATTTTTGGCATAGTAATTAAGGACAGTGCTGCCAAACTACATAAACTTAAAATATCGAAAAATATACAGCGCGCGAATTTTAAATGAGAATTTCCGAAAAATTTTCGGTCACAATGTATTCCTCTCGATACAACATATGCTGGATTATCAGTAGTCCGTATATCAGTAGTCCAGCTAATGTTAGGTAACAATTTTCGAATATCAGCAACTCTTGATTTTATGAATTTCTCTTTGTTTTTATTATTTTTTATCCATGCCAGAACGATTCTTGAATCACTCCATGCATATATTTGGGCCAGTGGCCTCGCTAGGCGTCAGCGAGGCGACCGCAGACGGCCTCGCGCCAGCAGGGGCCTCGCAAAAAGTTACCGATTGTGGATTCTTAATAAATATTTTGAACAATTTGGTTTGATAATGGCATTAACCATATTCGAAGTATTTCCGAATGTTTATATAGTAAACAGATTCATGTTCACAGTTCCAGTCAGTATAGCTTCGACGGAAAGAAAGAAGCAAAGGTAAAATTGATTAAGACGTATTAGAAAAGTATAATGATCCAAGAGAGACTATTTCCATTGGAAATTCTATAAACTGAAGCAAATTATGATATAATTTAAAAAAAAATTGAGTGAGGCTAAAAGTAGGAAAATTCATTTATTTTAATTTTTGTTTATTTTAATTTGATTAGCAATAAAACTTTCAATCATGCTTTGTTGCATTAGTGAATGTAACTTATTGACTTTTACAACTGGGTTATAAAGGGGGCCTCACTATTCTGATGTCGTCGACGTGCACTGATTTGGGCTTTATTATCTATAATTGGCTTTATTTTTTCAATAAGTTTTGCTAGAAGATGTGCTGCACAGAGTTCCAATTCTGGTGTAGTGTTTCTGCTTTTAATGGGGTTAACCTTTGTTTTGGCTGCAACGATATTAGTTATTCCATTAACGACTGCATACAAAACAGCTGCATATGCCTTATCTGAAGCATCTGCAAATCCATGTAGAACCAATTTTGCTTCATTTGTTCACTTCATCCAACATGGTATCTGTATTTTTTAAATCACTGATAGTTGTTCTATGTACTTATACCAAATCTTAGCTACGTCATCTTTTAATTGTTCATCCCATTTTTTATTATTTAGCCATAATTGTTGAATTAATAATTTTGCCACAATTATTATTGGTATTAGCCATCCCATCGGATCAAATATTTTTGCAATAGTTTTAGTTACCTCATTCTCGGTGATATTCACAATATCATTAGTGATTTTTGTGTTAAATTGCAATGCCACCTTTTTATTGTTGGTAAGCCATTTCTAAGGTGAAACCTATACTTTTGTAGGTGATCTTGTAAATTTTTACATATTTTATTGCAGGTCTCAATTGAATCGTCTCCTGTCA